ACGACGCATTGCAAGCAATTAGATACACAATATAATTACCTTCCTTTAAAAGCACTTGGTGCCAAGCAATGTTCTTGTATATGCATGTGCAAATATAAAAGCTGATCTCTACATGTGTGCTGGCTTACATAAATGCAGAGCCTACATACAATCTGCATATCCATTGCTGTTACTAACCACCCACAGTACCACGCTATAAGAAACTGTATGCCTGATCTGAAAGGAAAATATCTTAGTTTTACCTCTGTATTAGCAAAAGGAGTAAGGAGAGGGGACAGCCAATATAAAATTAGAATGTTTGAGGGTATGTGTGGCTCTATATCCTTTCTAGCAAAAGTAAAACTGCCCTGAAAGAGACTGTAACTAGCCAATGTCCAGGTAAGGATAACTTGACAGCATGTCTACACTTTGCAGGGCAGTTCTGAATAAAAAATCATGAGTGAGATCTGATGATCTAGTTCAGGTATGACAGTTACTTATTCCATGCCTTGCCTGTATTAATTTTGTCTTGCTTATCAGCAGGATTCATCAGCATGGCCAAATCTTGCTTGAATACAGTTATGTTGCTTCTCATACCACTGCCTCACACTGCATGTATATAGACATACCCTAACCATTAGACACGTAAAGAATGTCAACAGTTTTATATAGTTTATATAGTTCACTGTATGTTTCTTGCCTAGTTTTAATACTTTTCTTGATACTGTATGAACACAAGATCCCATCATCCCCAAAACGTAACTGAAGTCACAAGGTGCAGATGCATGTGAAAGTAATATTCTTACAAAATGATGTCTTTAAATATACGCACTCAATGCCAACGGAACTGCTGATCGATGCTTGTCACAGGCCCACTTCACCCACACCAAAGTTTTCAGTATCCTCTAACACACAAGTATATACATACGCACCTCTGTCTTCAGACACCTCTGCATGATAGACTCAATGTCAGTCCCCATATTACATGCATATGCAATGTTAAAAAATACATAATTTCCACAATCATTATATACGTAATAACACCAGCTACTTGAATTAACATATTTCACTGACTAACAGCACAATATGTCTAAATGAGTAGTTTCTTCCCTTCTACCATGTTAACACAGCCTGCATTTTATGTAAGCTTTTTGTAAAAATACATTTACCACAGCAATGTTCTTACACACAGACATGTTTTACTAGCCTTCATATACAAGAGCATCTGTAAAGGACTTGAAAGTCCTGCATTTCGTTTTCTTTCTATTTTTAAGTACTGCTTTTAAATGTTGTAAAAGAGCAATACAGTTAAGCATCAGTAGCAATTTTCAAAACAAACTGGTATTAGAAAGAAACCCGGGTCATATTTAATATTATTTCTCCCTGTGATATACTTTGTATGTCATTGTTGGTTTCCTTTTTGTGCCTGTTTCCAAAAACACTTATGGAAAAATTATTTTAAGCATACCAGAACCATGGCATGTGCAATTAGAGCTTGGCAGAGCGTATAATAAAGTAGATACGGTGTCCTTTCAGTCTAACTTGTTAACAGGCGGAAATGCTGCTAGGAAAGCGAACAGAGTTTGCATTCTAGCGAATCCTGGGGAACTCTTGGCATTCTCTGGGCTTCACTCGTTCAGCTACAGTTTGACAACTCCACTTCCATTGTTTGTCTCTCATCCATTACAAGTAGAGGATTTGATTCCTCCCCCTTTTTTTCAATTTTTTGAAGATAGACCTTGCATAAAATCTGGAAAGAACACTAAAGCATAGTCCTCTGCCTGTGTTTATTTCTGTCCTGTGTTCTGTTATGGCTCAGTGAATTTTGAGAGAAGAATGACTGAATTAAGGACTGTTCAATAGGTCTTTCTCTTCCAGAATAAACTCTGCATTTCCTTCACGATTGCTTCCCTGTCTTTCCACAGATGTGCAAGACTGATGCTAGCTGACCAGTGAGGATTTCTTTGCGGGTGATACCCTCCAAATCATTAGAGATCTTCTGACAGCTGCATATTTGAAAAACATTTGTAGATACAATGTTTGGTCGAGACAGTATAGCGCAGAATGAACTACAAATACCCATGTAGATACTGCACCAGAAGCAGTACCTGCTAATTTTGGCATCACTTGATATCATACAAATTTAGAATTGTGAATTGAAATCAGTGTTATTTCCTATCGCTGAGCAAGGATTCATAAAGTTTCCAATGAAATTTGTCTTGTCTCTTAAAGAAGATGGTTATCTTGACCCAAATCAGAATGATGGCACCTCGGCTTTGCCGTTAGCAGTGCAAGCCCATTAAAGTTTCCAGGTGATTAATACTTCCAGAGGGTGCAGATACTTTTACATTCTCCATCTTTAAGGAAGAAGGAAACTAATTCATTTTGCTGCTGCAAACTGAAGTTGCGGTTTGTTTTATAGGTTGGAACCCCTTAGAGCCACCCCTTAGAAACACAACAAAATGGGCCAGCTTTGGCCTTGATGAAATTCCATTCACATAATGGACGTATACCATTCATACATTTGGCCTACTGTCTTTTTTCACTGTAATATATTAGAAGAAGCAGCCAACACATCAGGCAGCAGCAGTAAAATGGTTCCTGTAATGCTTACTAATTGAAGTAAATGGGAATTTGGCCCGAGAGAGGACTGCAGGATGCTTTCCTTCAAATTGCAATAACATTGAGTCACCCCTATTGCTGCAAAGCAGATTCACAGTAGAGTTACTGGTCTTAATATGAAATGTCTCTTGCTGTACACAAACCCATATGTTTTGTAGCTCAATTTTCAAAGCAGATTGATAGCTTTTACTAGAGCTAAACACGGCACAGAAGGGCACTACACAAAATGCCTGTTCGTTGAGCCAATACACCTGAATGCTGACCTGTAATAGCCTTCCTATTTCAGGCCTGGATCTCTTTCAGTGGACATAGACAAAGTTATACCTT